GGCTGCAGCCATCCTATTGAGGTTATTGCAGCATTTACCGCTACTGCTGAAGCAGGCTACCTCAGCATTTAGGCTGTGCATTGCCCCGCTGGGGTGGAACTGCTGCGGCGCGCTCTGGCACACACCGGTTGGGCACCACCATCATACGGTTGTGGACTATGCATAGGCTACTGCTGTGTTTTCACGGATGGCTGCTACTATAAATAGGTTGCTATAACACGTACTGGTCACCACGGCGTGTGGGCTGGGTAGTCGGTTGTACCTTTTTGGACTGCCGGGGACGGCCAGCTGCTGTATATGGTGCACGATCCGGTGCTACAGGTAGTGCCCTACAGGGCGTTGTATGCTGCTACAGCGCAGGTGGACTGTGTACGGGCCATGGCTACATACTGCTGCAGCTTCTGCTGGGTACTACGGGCTGTGAGAGACAACTGCTGTCGGTTGGACTGTACACAACTGTTGCGTTGACTGTGCACAGGTTGTGGCTAACTGCTGGTGGTTGTCATAGGGTGTTCCAGCCTGCTGCGGGGTGTAGTCGACCGCTGTAAGCTGCTTCAGAACGTGTGCAGCTACGATTGGTCTAAGGCAAGGTATTGAACCTCAGAGAAGTGATCAGACCGGGCCAGTAAGAGGGCGGACACAATGAGAGAGGGGAAGGGAGATCAGACCTAGCCGTAGGGGGCTTATTGCTGCAGTCTGGAGGTTCATCATGAGTCTGTTACTCGGCGTTTTGACTGCGACCTGACCTTCTGTACTATGTTACCGGCCATCATTGTGGGGCCCTCAGGCGCATCAAGGCAACAAGACCCTCTTTAGTGAGGTTGAGCGCACCCCTCTGGTATCTGAGCGTCTAAAACTTTCTACATCTACCTTTCATACTCTCAGTCTAGTCTAAGGTTACGAGAGGAAGGCGGCAAGCGGGATTGAAACCCGTAGGACCGCGCCAAGGCCTCTGTGGGAGGTTGCCGCACTGATTGCGGGAGCTCTGCCGGAGCCCAGGCGGGGTTCTGGAGGCAGGGAACTTCAGGTATAACTTCGGCTGACGCGTGTGATCCCGTCCCCTATCTCTTATCCTTGGGCATCTAAAGAATACTATGTAAGGATACTACTCTTTGTTTTGTTATGTATGTCAGGACATGTTTTGCAAAAGGTTAAATGAACAACTATATATGAGAGTTCAGATAACTTGAGTGGTTTCAGACAGGACGAACTGGGGGGAAGGTGGGTTGCAGGTGTTATGTATGCTTTGACCGGGTCAACCCAAGGCTGAGCTCCTCTAAGTTGATGTGGGCTCAGTGCTGTGTTTTACTTATGTTTGTTGGGGCTGACTGTATGGTTTTGAGGGCTGGATCTATCCTAAGTTGGACGGACCAGTCGTTGTTGTTTTTTTGGGTTTCTGAACAGGGGGATGAGCACCCTAAGTTGGAAGGTCTCAGAATCCTAGTGTTTCTTTTGTGGGTTGCTGAAAACAGAGTTGGGAACACTCTAAGTTGCGTGGACTCAGTTTTGTATTTGTTTTCTTCTGAGGGGGACACAGGCATGAGGATGGGCGTACCCTTAAGTTAGGGCGGCTCAGTCATAAGCCATTAACATAATGGTCAACCCAAATATACAATTTTGATATATATTATGAACCTATATCATCTGGCGGACCGGGCACCCTAAGTTGGGAAAGCCAGTCAGTAAGTCAGGTAGAACAAGAGGAGGAGAAAAGCATGAAGAATATAATGAAGGTAATCAGGGCAGGCTGAGCGTACCCTTAAGTTAGGGCGGCTCGGTCCTATGTTCGTGATAATACAAAGGTGCAGAAAGTAAGTATAAACCTGTTTTATTTTCCCTTCTAAACACAAGGCAAGGTTGGATGTCTCCCTTAGTTGGGTAGGTCTGACTATCTGCCTAATAAGAGAGAAACACATATAGTTTCTGTAAGTATCAATGGTTGTCTTCATATGATTGTCGTTACGGAGGCTAAGCGTACCCTTAAGTTAGGGCGGCTTAGTCACACGTCGTTGTACTTGTTCAGGCAGATTCTGTTTTATGCAACTATAACTGTTTAAGCCAGCCAGGCGTACCCTTAAGTTAGGGCGGTCTGGTGATAGGCTCCTGTCGTTGATGTGATGTAGGTTGGACGTACCCTTAAATTAGGGCGGTCTGACCATTCGTCGTTTGCGCTTGTTCTGTAGGTTGGACGTACCCTTAAGTTAGGGTGGTCTGACCATTCGTCGTTCGTGCTTATTYTGGGCAGGTTAGGCACACCCCTAAGTTGGGRCAGTCTAATCCTATGCCCTATGTWACTTTGTGTAAAGTTGGCTATGTATACCCTTAAGTTAGGGCAGTCTAGCTTTACGCTTCATGTCGTCAGTTCAAGCAGAAGTCAGGCGTACCCTTAAGTTAGGGCGGTCTGGTCATATGCTTTATGACTAGAGTTAATCTCGAGTTGGGCATACCCTTAAGTTAGGGCAGTCCAGTTGTGCGTACCCTTACTTGTTTACTTAGGCAGGTTGGACATACCCTTAAGTTAGGGCCTTGTCTGATCCTAGGCCATAAGTGAGGGGGTTATTGATAGGGAACGACCGAGTGATCTAACGAACTACCTGGACAAATGTATGTGGGATCGTGAGAGATGCATACTCATGTATGATTGTAGGGTCTCACTTGGAGTGTCTTTTCGATAGGATAGTTGCTTTAGATGCTCGCCAAGTGGTGGAGCCATAGGTAGGTCAGATGGATGTTGGAAGGGAAAATTTGGGATGAGGATAGGACTGGCCTTGCTAGCCCACGGTCTCATCCAGAGGTTGTGTTAGCTGTCATTGATCCTGATTCATCAAGCAGGCGTCGGTAGTTAGTCCCAAGTGTAGTTTGCTTTGTCTTTTCATCTTTCAGCTTCGTATAAATCTTGACAACCTCCTTTTCCTACGGGAAGCGCTGACGAAATTTCTACAAATCTGGAGGAGTTAGTCATTTTTTGACTCATAGAAATTATGAAAAGACACTTTTCCTACGGGAAGTGCTGTCGAAATTTTGCAGAATTTGGGGAGTTATAATATTTTGCAGCTAGGGGTTACTTAGCAGATTTATCCTGATTAGAGGTGATACTTAGGGACTTAGTACTAGTGGAGGAGCTAGGTTACGACTAGGGGAATGTTCTCCCCTTGACAGAAACATGAGTAGTAATTTTGTTTGGTCTGTACTGTGATGCAAGTTCTCATGTTATCAGTTGAAGGTTGATCTGATCAGCCTATTACTGCAGAAGGTTTACCTTTCTGTCATCACTGATAACAGGTCGGTTGCCGATCCGTCGGTCTACGACTCAACCCCAATTCACCCTCGATGCTCAACCTAAAAAGGCTGTAGCCCTGGTGATTTTATTTGTTTTGTTAAGGTTTCACCTAGACTTTTATTGAATGTCCATTTAACAGAGGTACTAAGTACTTACTTATGGCTGGTTGGCTGGAGGTTGGGGCTTGCATGGCTAAAGCAAGGGGTATGAGTGGAGAGGTTGGTTGGAGTTGACTCCGTGTAGCGTGTGGATCTTGGTTTGATGCTGTGATGTGATTGCAGGTATGTATGGAAGAGTATCATCTGAGTTATGTTGAGTGATCGTGTCTTGGATTCAGATGGGAAACCCACACAACTGTCGTGAGAGTGAACTACCCCACAACCTTGTGCTTGAGTGAGATTGTTCTACCCTCTATCTGATAAAGTAAGTAAGCGTACGTTCGGGTAACCCCCTCAGGGCTAATCTCGACGGTGTCCTTTCTGTTGCTGTTGAGAACAGTTGCTCTTTATTATTATTTATTTATCCTTGTTGAAAATTATTTTGGTGGAACGGTAAGGTTCCGGACGGAAGGGTTAGCGTGTCGCTGGTGATGCGCCAGACTACTCACCACCGCTCCAAATTCCTTCCTGCCCTAAGGGCCGCCTGACCCTGCACCCTTTGGGACACCTCAGGGTGCAGGAGACGGAAAGGCCCTCATGCCGATTTTGCGTCCACTAAAGGGTTACCCCCCCTTAGCGTGTGCTTCAGCCAACGCCTGAGCGTCGGGAGCCACCCCACGGCCCAAAATAGGTCATTCGGGTATGGGCACCACATAATGCGCCGTCATCGCTTTTATCTGTGTAGGACTGCATTATTAATCGGTATGCGTGGGTCCTACGTTCGCGCGATCTTATATTAAACCTCGCGCAAGGAAGTTACCGACTTCCACTGCGTAGAGTTATGGGTTGGATATTGAAGGGACTAGGAGTGTTGTTGTGTTGTGGTGTTATTTGTGGAGATTGTTGTGTGTGTGTCCGTATGTTATGTGTGGGTAAGCGTGGGTGTTGTAGTGTAACGTATGGGTGTGTAGTGCGTCCTAGTCGACCGGCAGCGAATCGTGTCTGGGACTTTAGCCCCCCAGTACGACGACTCGCGTACGGGTTTGATTTCGGGCGTTCAACCGCGCGTACCCCCTATGCTACAGCGAAAGAGAAACGCCCTCGGCTGGGCCACCTCTGCAATTGCATATGAAAAGCTTTCGCATGTGGTTCAGTAGCTCGGCAGGGATACGCCCACCTTAGGAATGGTGACAGCTCCCGCAGGTGGAGGTAGCGGTGCCTCGCATGACTCTGTCCTGTCGTAGGGACTCGCGAGAGGTACGACTGGCGTACTTGGCCGGAGCGGCAAATGCTCTCCGCGACAAGTCCTGCATAATCCTGCGTGACGCGGCCGGAGGGTCCCCGTGCGGGACCGATGCGCTCGACAGGTGGCGCCGTTGCCGGGGATCTCGGTTGCCTACCGGGGTCCTTAAGAGAACGAACCCAGGTTAAGTGCAGGCTGACGGTCTAGGCAAAACGACAACAGTTATAGGTTGGGATATCTTATATAAGAGGGGGTGTATGTTAGATCATAATAAGACTAAGTGATATATAGTGCGACTAAAGGTTGTATCTTGGGTGTGAATGGCTAATGGTAGAGCGGTTAGCTGAACTTAGAAGTAGAGTGGGCAGGAATGGTGTAGGGCGAACCCTCTGAAACTTGACGGACTGCTTACCGGTCTACCCCTTGTTACTCCTGACAGGTTGGTTAGCAGAAAGAGGTGAAGATGCCAGACGCCGATGAAATCGAGCGGGGCCCGGCCGCTACGCCGGCAGACTTCGTCAAGGCACTCGAAAAAAGGGATTTGGCACGGCTACAAGTGCCAAAGATTGACATCTTCCACTTTGAAGGGGAGAGGGTGTCAAAGTGGCTGGAGCTCCTAGAACAGATTACTACCGAGGTGCCGGAAGCGGATAAATTTAAGTATCTACCTCGATACATCTGGTGGGAAATTCGGCCAGAAATCATGAAAGTGGTTGTTGGAACAGGGGGAGACTGGGCAAAGTTCAAGGCTGAAATGCAAAGGCGGTTCAAGCTAGGAGATGGCTTGCTGACAAAGACGGATCTGGAGATGCTACAGCGAGATGAGTTCTCCACGGTGGGGGCATTTGCAACAACATTCAAAAAGATGGCGAAGAAAGTCCCAGGATTGGCAGAAGAGGAACAATGTGCTACCTTCCTGGGGCACTTCAAAAATTGGGAAGCCTCCTCGCTTACAGGGAAGAAGCTCACTTGGGCTGCCATAAAGGAAGGCGTAATGGACGGAGAACTGGACCAGGTAGACATCTTTCAGATGAGACAGGTTAGAAAGAAAAGGAAGGCATTAGACGCTACAACAAGTGATGGGCGCGACTTCAAGAAAATGGTGGAGGATGCGGTGGCCCAACTCGATGCAGCGAAGGAGGCAAGAAGAAAAACTATGGCGGCACCACAGACCCAAGGTAAAGCAAAGAAAGCGGTGGTGCAGGAGGAAGAAGAAGAGGAAGTGGAAGAGGAGCCTGAGCCGCAGAAGTTGACAAAGGCTCAAAGGAAAGCAAGGAATTTGGCTCAAGGGAGGCAAGGCTCAGGGAGGGACCAGGTCCCACAAGCTGTAGCCATGCCGCCCCCTGAGTCACCCAGTCAGGCTGCACCAGCACACTGTGGGCCATGGCCAGGTTGTGGACCTTCAAGTCATTGGCATGGACATTGTTCGTACGCCCCATGGCCAATGAGTGGGCCGCATGGGTCATGTGCCGGACCGTCGATGAGCACAGCTTCCTGCGGCTGCCCGGGACCCCAAGCTCAGCAGATGAGCCACCCAACCCCACCGCCCAACCAACCTCAGCAGTCAGCCCCACAAGGATCGCAAGGCAACCAAGGTGGTGGACGTGGTCAGAATCAAGGATGGGGTCGAGGGCGAGGGAATGGTGGTCGAGGAGGAAACGACAGAGGGAATGGTGGTGGTAACGCTGCAGGCAAGGGAAACGAGGACTGGATGGTCTCTGGAAGTCAAGGTGGTCAGGAAGGTGGAAGAGGTGCTGGCAGAGGAAGGATAGATTGGAGGAACGCCATTTGTTGGCACTGTGGGCAGAAAGGCCACACTATCAAGTTCTGCCATGTAAAGAGAAATGATGAGGACGAAGGACTGATCAATACTAACTATGATGGGGATATGTACGACAAGTGGGGGTACCACCTTGATCCAAGAACCCCAGGCGGGACAAGGAAGGAGGCCCTACGACGAGCCGAGGCAGGTGAACCACCTGCTCCTCCAGCCATGTTTCGGATGTGGCAGGAGAAAAAGGTCCGTAGCTACGTCAGGGTGGAGGAGGTAGGAGAGACCGAGGAGGTGGAGCAAGAGCGGAAAGCCGACACTACTAAGGCAGAGCCCATCATAGTAGAGTCGGACGATGAGATTGAAGATTACTGAAACAGGCCATTGCATGCTGAGACAGGGGAAGACTATTGGAGAACGGCCCGACAGACAATGGAGAGAATGAAGGACCTGATAGACAAAGTCGGGAGATACCAACAGAAGCTGGCTGATATGTGCGAAGAAGTCAAGGAGTGGCAAGGTAAGGAGCCATCGGTATACCTCTACGACCTAGGTTCGGGATCGCGAGGATCCGGGAATCTACCAAACGTCACGACCTCAGGAGCGACGCCTCGATCCGGAATGACTTTCAGACCACCTTCCCGGATGGGGAGGGCGCCATACGTTGTCAGAACGAGGGCTAAAGGGTCAGTGATTCCCGAAAAACCAGCCAAGGATGTTCCAGAACCAAGTGGAGAGAAGGAAGTTGTGTACGTTCCAGAGGGAGAGGATGATGAGGATGACAGGTTGAGGAAAGAGGAGGATGAGAAGGCTGAACAACGAGCCAAAAAGAGAGGTGCCAAGCCGGACACAGACAAGGCACAGGAAGTAAAAAAGAAAAGGTATGGGGTCCGCATAGAGGAAGGGTTCGACGTAGAAGAGATAATGGACAGGATTCTCGAAGGTCATAACCATCTTATGAACCTGAAGGATGTCCTGGCCTCAGCGCCCAGACTCAAGGATGAGCTAAGGGCGCGACTATCCAGGAAGATGGTGGCCAGCGTGCGGTTAGGGACTATAATCCCTAAGGAGGCTGAGTGGGCCGAGACAGGCACGAAAATGGACTGGAAGTCAGTAGCCTGTGGGTGCCTCGATGTGGTGGTAAAAGGGAAGACGTGCACAACAATGGTGGAGAGCGGCGTAGAAATGAACCTCATAAAGGAGGTAGATGCAGTGCATCTAGGGATGGAGGTAGATCGCTCCGACAACGGGGTTCTGATGGGAGCAAACAGCCGGTCGATTTTCATAGGGACCGCATCGTCTGTGATTCTAGAGATTGGGAAGGTAAAAGTAAGAAGTTGTTTCTTCGTGATGCCTGATTTGGACCACCCTATCCTACTGGGTAGGTCGTTCCTAAGTCGGACAGAGACGATAATTCTCAACAAACATGACGAGACTATGTTCCTCGTCCTGTGTGACCCCGTGTGTGGGAATTATGAGGTCATCACCTGCAAGAACACAGGACCCAAGAGCGTAAGGAACCGACCCAACCCCGGTCCATTCACAATTGAAGAGTCAGAAGAAGAAAGGCTAAGGATTGAAGCCAGAAAGTCTGAGGAGGTAAGAGAGTCGGAGACGCTGACCCTAAGCTTGGCAAACGTAGGTGATGCTATGGATATAGTATCGACCTATGGGATGGCGGACCCCGAGGCTGTGGAGGCCTTGAGAGAGAAGGTAGTGGAGCAAATGGGTGCAGGGGAGATGGAACTGGTATATCGAACGCCTAGGAAGACAGGTGGGACAGATGGAGCACAACCCCAAAGTGCAACTCGACCTTTTTTAGGGGTGGGCTCAAGCAGGGAGCACAAAGGCGGTACAAAAGGGTAGACCAGAAGTGCCGCCCTGTTCCCGTACTCGTTACCAAAGAGCAAGAAGTATACTACGAGTGGGAACGATAATTGATACGGCAGATGAGAGAGAAAGCGGAGACTGGGCCGTGCCGTATCAATCCCGAGATAGAAAAGACGTTGATTGTAGGGGGACCTGGTTTCCTTACTGCGTAGGAGGAAAAGCTGGTGGTGGAGGCCCTACGAGGAAGGCATGCGGCATATGGCTTCAGTGATTGATGAGAGAGGCCGTCTGGATGTGGATATAATCCCTATGATTAGGATACACACCGTACCTCACGAGCCGTGGAACTTGCGAGGCGTGCGGTACCCTAATCCAGCCGATGAAGAGAAGGTGGTCAACTACCTCGACGGTAAGATCCGCACTCATGTGGCAGATTACTCGAGTGGTCCGTATGCGTCCCTCTGTTTTTTTTTTATCAAACCCAATGGGACTCTGAGGTGGGTACAGCATTTGCAGCGCTTGAACGCTGTAACAGTGAGGGACGCATGTGGCCTTCCCAACGCCGATGCGCTGTCGGTGCGAATACCCTTACAAGGGTATCCGCCGTGGTTTTTGCGAGTGACAGAAAATATTTGTAATCTAGAGTTTAAGTATACCGGGCTAAGCGCGGTTGCGTCTGTAATTGCGTTGACTAGGTGGTTGACCACAATAGCGAGTGCGTGGGCGCGCAGGTTTAAGGCGCGCGTGATTCTTTTCTGATATTGATTGTAAGGCCGATCCGGACCTCGGTCGTTTTGCTTATTGTTATTTTTATTTATTTTGATTAAGCAGGAATTAAGGATATTTTCTTTTGATTGGTACTTATATAAGCAAGCCGGCACAAGCAAATGGGGGGCCGCGCAGCCGTTTTGTTGGCCCAAAGCGCCGTGCCGCACCGTCTCGTATGGTACTCTGCGGGCACTAATCTCAGGCTTGGGCATAGCCCTATAGGTTACGACAGCGGGCTGTTACTATGGAGGTTCGGGGATCGAGGCTAGCAGGCGTCGGCGCGCCGGCAGCCGAGTAGCATGGAGCAAAAACCTGAGGGGTTGAGGGCCCTGTGGGGCTATCCCCCTCGGTTTTGCCTATGGGTGCGGCGGCGGTCTCAAGCCGCGGGGCTGGCACTGTACCAGCGATCCCGCGACTCCCCGACGTTACTGTTATTTTATTTTATTTCCCTTTTGTCTATTGTTCTGGGTCCCTTTTCTATCTCGTCCAGTTTTGGGACGCGGGATTGCGATAGGAGCGCGTGGAGGTGTTGTACTTACGGGGTCGCCTGAAGTGCAATTACAAACTGTTTTCGTAGTTACGCCGGGGCGCTGTCCTCAATTGAGGCCCTTCAAGACATCTGTTAAGGTAGGAATGGCGCGGGAAAGGTTCGTGCAGCCACTGCGTAGGGATGACGCAGTAAAATCCGGGAATGAACCCGGATGCCGACCGGGCCGGGTGCGTGCGCAGTGGGCTGGAGTTGGCACCAACAGAAGCAAGGCACGGCTGATGCGCAGATCATTCGTCGGACTTTGGGGTTTAGAGGTAAAGGCTAATTGAACCGCCTAGTAGCCAGCCTCCTCCAGAGTTTCCCGAAGGATAGCTGGAGTTGTCAGGGGCCGCTTTCTCACCGTGTCGGACTACGCAGCGACGGGCGGCACCAGAAGGGAGCATCGATCACTACTCCTTGTGGTGTTAGACTTAGCGCGCTATAGTAAAGCAGGGGCGCCTGGAGGCACCGCTACACTACAGGGAGGACTGAATCACTACCCGGGTGTAGAACTGATGGAAGCACCGCGGGCCACAGTGAGTACCAAGGGCCGATGGACAGGCTACGGTAGGAGGTAAGAGCGGAGTACGAGTGTAGTGTAGTACGAACGAACCCGGATGGGTTCCTGCGTCGGGTACGTGTAGAAACGGAGCGGGGTAGAGGCCGGCGAGGAGGGGGCTGGCAGTACACGGATGGGCAGAACCGCCCGTAGGATCTGGGTATAGGGGCGAAAGACTAATCGAACCGGCTAAAAGCCGGATCCTCCCGAGGGTTCTCCGCGGGCTGGCCAGATAGCGCTGCGCTGCGCTGCACTGCAGGGGAAGGACGGGTGTCGTGAAAGCGAGGCGGAGCAACAGGAGGGAGGAACGGGCATGCCGGACAGTGCTGTGCAACAGCGGGCGGAGTGTTGAGGCGGTGTGGCGAAGTGGAGACGAGGTAGAGCAGTAGGCTGACTGGACAGCGGGCCAGCCTGAAGGTCGAGCGCAGGGGCACGAACGGGGAGCAGAGCAGAGCATCGAAGGGGTGAACCCGACGCGATTTCGCGCCAGATACGTGCAGCAAGAGAAATGGCAGAAGTTGGTCATGGCGGAGAGGAAGTACGTCTTCCACACCCTATCCTTGGCGGAATCAAGCGGGGGAAGATGCTAGTTTGATGCTTTTAGGCCGGGCGAATCACATAGAGAGGTTAGTTGTAGGAGAGAGTGAGTAGAATTAGTGTTAGAAGGAGAAAGGACTGCGCGGAGGCTATGGCGGAGGTGAGGGAGGAAGAGACGAAGAAATGAATATCTCGCTCGTTTCCGATCGGATTCGAGCGAGCGAAGATGATATCCCCGGGTTTTGACCCCGGGCGAATCAGATAGTACTGCTAGTTTCAGCATTGGGATAAGTAGATAAAAAGTTAGTACAAGATCAGACTGCGCCGAGTAGTCGGGGATGGCGACGAGAAGGAGAAGTCTGAGTTAAAACAGATTGGGTCAGCCATTTCTGAACCGAATTTAGTCATTCAAAGGGTGATTTTGGGGGTTTGGGGTTAGGCGAGTTGGAATCTGCGGGTGAATTGGCACAATAGTCAGTAGGGTAGGAGGTATAGTTGTTTTGAGTTGCGCCTGGGGGGGATGGTAGGCTAGTATATGAGTATGGAATGAATCTACCCGTGTTTAGGGGCAGATTCATTCAACTTCGTATAACCTACTGCCAAGAGCGGCGCGAAGGAACAGC